GGGCAAACATAGTTTCTCATTTTGGATATAATGATTAACTGTTTATTCATTCATTCATTGATTCCAGTTTTGAGGCCACCCGACTCCACAGCAACTCTGGGCAATTCACAGTTAAAAAAAATAAAATAAAACAACATACATCAAAGAAAAAGAATGCAGCTGACCAGAAAACAGAACCCAAAACCAAATGGGCTCAACCACCATCCTAACCCAAGGCTTGGGAGAACAACCAGGTCTTTAACAATTTGCAGAAACTAAAAGAGATGGGAACAGTACAGATATCTTGGAGGATATCATCCCACAAGACAAGACCCATCTCCAAGAGTTTCTTGGGTCCTGCAAGATGACTCTGCTTAATTGATGGGACCTGGAATGTGCCCACTGTAGCTGACTTTACTGGATAGGCAGAAACATATGGAGAACATAGGTGGTCCCTCAAGTAGTCAGGCCCTATGCCATGAAGGGCTTTATAAGTAACGAGCTATGTAAACCCTGGTCTGTAGCTGGTTTTCTATGGCTGTATTTAGACAAGTAGAGCCATGATTGTTTGAAGTAGTGGAATTAAAATAGGCTGTGGAGTGGGAAAGGAATTTCTATGAGAGAGCAGGTTGTTACAGGTTGGTGGTGTGAATCTGTGTTCAAGACTAAAGTTATAATTACTAAAGCTTTATTTCAGTTGTAGATATGAAACGTTATTTTCCTTGGCCTGAGATGTATTCTGCTGATCTTTATCTCTATTATGAAACATATTTAGACTGTACTATCTGCAGACTGAGAGCACTGTATGGCTGTTAATTTTGTCTTAACAGCATGATCTGAAATATATTCAACATGGAAGCAAGTCTTATTGAGTTCAGTAAGTCATGCTTTCCACAAAGTATGCTTAGCATTTCAGCTAAAGTTTTTTGTTGTATTTCCATGAGTCTTTTCAGTAGTTATTCTGTAATAGGGTGGGTTTTTTTTAATAAAAAAAATAAGTGTTACAGGACAAGTACTATCAGTACTTGGTTTGGAGTGGAAATTTTATAACTGAGTTATAAATTCTAGAAACAATTTGGTTTGTAATAGGAAAACTATAAGGGGTAGTAGAAGGGATATAATAATACATGTGCAGCTCTTCCCTTTCATTTGTGAATAGACCATTTAAATTAGATTAAGGATGTAAATTCTGTTGTTTCATTTGTTTAATATTTCATGTCAAATTTTACAGATAAAAATTACATTTAGCAATAAATATGAAAAAGAATTTATGCAACTTGTTCTGGGTTGATATCCCATTCCTCCTTAGCTGTAAAGAAAATTCATTATTACATCTTTGGTTGTAATAGTGGCTTCATTACACTGATAATAAAACAACTTTTAAAAAAATGACACAAGATGCATAGGATCTCATATATCTGCTTTTAGTGGTACTGAATTTGGTGTTGGCTGTTTTTCCTGAATCTGCCCTTCTCATGATTTATTTGACCTCAACTGAACATGTGAAACTTACTGTAGACCTTTAAATGTTTATAGTGTTTAACATTTTAGAAATATGTGAAACAATTAATAAAAGTATATGTTTATGGGTAGGCATAATCAGTGCAAAATTAGCCTGTGATGCATGAAATACTGGATTCCTGTAATTCACTGTTTGTAGAGTTAGAGCCAGCCTTGCAAATAGGAATATAGTCCTCCGCTCTCTGGAATGATTTCTCCCTCTACTTGTCATCTCTATCTAATCTGAAAAAGTCTTTGAACTACAACACTGGGTTGATGAGCAGCATTTCAGTTGTAGTCTCCTTGTGTAAAGTGGCCACCAGGTGTCATCAGAATACTTTTCTTATGCTGATGACTACTACTTTGTGTAGTTGCACTTTTTTAAAAAACTTTAGATTTACTATTAAGCATAGCTGTAGTGTGAAATATTTCATATTTTTCTTGAGGCTCTTATGATACTGCTCTTCCACTAAAATAACCAAAAAGTTTATGGCCAAGCCACCCCAGTTTGGAAGCAGTAATATTGCAATTACTGAGAGCCAGTTTGGTCTAGTGGTTAAAGCACCAGGCTAGAAAGATGGAGACTGTAAG